TAAATTTCTGCTGAATGCGTTCTAGTTTGTTTGCATCAGTTGACGTAATGGAATTCCAAACTACTGAAGCGTATTCAACCTTGGATCTAACTAAAGTAAAATATAAAATGAACATGCATCCAAGGGTTGAATAGTTAAATGTGATACTGCGAATTATACCTAGAATCTCAATACACTTCGAAAATATAAAATTAACATGATCATGAAAATGAAGTTTAGAATCAAGGTATACGCCCAAGTCTTTGACTGAATATGTTCGAGTTATAGTGAAATGAAGAAGTTTGTATTCGTATATCAAATAGTTAGTTTTCCTAGAGAACGTTATAACTTTGGTTTTGTCAGCGTTGAGTTTCATATAGTCCGCTGAACACCAGCTACGTATACAGTAAACGTCAGATTGCAGAAGATTACAATCTTCAGGACAACTAATAGCACGGTAAATTTTAATGTCTGCAAAGAGTAGGTAACTGCAGTGCTTAATTGAATCACACAAGTCGTTTAGGTAGACATTGAAAAGCAGAGGGCCAAGAACAGATCCCTGTGGAACACCGGACAATACTTCAAAGTTTCACCAATACGGACCCGCGATTGTCTGTTGGTTAGGTAACTGCGTATCCAGTTTACATAACCACCAGAAAATCCAAGGGCACTCAGTTTGTGAAGAAGCAAAGAGTGGGGAACGAGGTCGAAAGCAGAAGTTAGGTCAAAATAAATGGCATCCACTTGACGTTGAGAGCCAACTAGGGGAGTAATAAAATCAAGATACGTTACTAGATTGGTGGTGGTGGATTTACATTTTGTGAAACCATGCTGGCAGGGATTTAATTTCAACTTGAGGTCATGTGAAACATGGTTATGGATAACATACTCAAATAATTTCGAAAAATTGTTAAGAATCGAGATAGGTCTGTAGTTTTTGACTGAGGCACTACTGCCTTTCTTAAAGATAGGAACAACTGCCGCTTGCTTCCATAATGCAAGAAAACACTGCTGAGAGAGATTGCCGCTTGCTTCCATAATGCAGGAAAACACTGCTGAGACTAAGATTGAAAATATGCTTCAAGACAGGTGCGAGTATATCTGAACAACCCTTAATGACAAATGCTGGGATGTTATAAAGACAGACAGATTTGGATGGTTTCAGACGTGCAATGGCTTTAAAAATGTCTGAATCACAAACAGGTGATAAAGATAGAGATCCCAATGATGATGATGAAAGGGAAGGGAACACCCCTGGAGAGGAAATATTATATACTGACAAAGTGATCAGCAAATGCGTTGGCAACTTCATAGTGGTCTACCAAATGAGTACCATCAACTATAAGCTGAATAGAAGTGGAG